CTTTTGAGCCCGGCAGAGTGGCCAAACTAGCCAATCATAGCATCAGAACTCTAAGCACTTGAGAGAGAGTGGGCACCTCCCAGAACATTGTTTTGTGCCACTCCCAACAGAAATACTCCAGGTGGACAACTTCAGCAATCAGGAGCTCCTCAGTTGCTCATAGCAAATCCCACCTTGGAGTTTACAAAGACTTTTGGGTAGAAAAGCCACACTAAGTAATTTACTACACCGCAGTACATAATGAAGTCAATATCCTATTTTTCCCTCTTAGGCCATTATTCGTGAATTGGGTGGTATTCCAGTTGTTGGGAACTTGATCAACAATCCCAACCACAGTATTAAAGAGAAAGCCTTAAATGCACTGAATAACCTGAGTGTGAATGTCAAAAATCAAGACGTGATAAAGGTACGTTATCCAAAGACACAAGTGTGTGAGGTGTAGTATAAATGAAAGAGAATATAACAGAAGTGTGGTTTTGAAACTTTTACTAGACTATTCTTTATAACTTTATGGCTAAGAACTGGCTTTAGAAGAATGGAGAATGAGCCAGAGAAGGGAGGGACATGAACCAGACAATAAGAGATGCATTGGATTTTTGAAGTTAGGGATCAGTTTAACCCAAAGTATGGTGAAGGAGCCACCCCAGAATCAGATTAACATCAACAGAAAAAGACAAAATAATTTAGGAAATTGTGCTAATTTAGTTCAAGTCAGCATTTACTGAGTTACTGCTCTGTGTTACACAATAAAGAAATGGACATGATATAAATCTTGCAAGAAAGCTAGAAGGAGGAATAAGGCAATTCATAAATAGTTGTAATTCAAAGTAAAACATAATGAAGTGCTTTAAGGAAAAATGTTAGATATTGTTGAGGACACAGAAAGGAAAGATCCCATCCAAAAGTCTGTATGTAAAAGGTAGAGTCTGACCTGGTCTTGAGAATATCTAAGATTTCTACAAGTGGAATTGGGGAAAGAGGGAATTCCAAGGGGAAGAAATAAGGTAAGCCAGGTACCATTCCAGGAGTAAGTGAGCTGGACCATCTAGCAGTCTTGTTACTAGAATTACAATAGTGAAAAGATTTAGACATTATAAGGATATAGACACTTCACACATTTTGGAGACATTTTGAAAGACAACGCTATCTTACAAAAATAGATGATTTATAAAGAAGGAAATGCCATTTTTTAAAGGATAGAAATGTAATGAAATTGTGACAAAATCGGCTTGCAAACGTCAGTTAGATCTTGAAAATAGATAAAAGTTTATGTCACTGAATTATACATGTAAAAAATTTGAAAATGGTAAATGTTTTGTTGCATACATATTTACAAAATTTAAAAAAAAGTTAATCTCTCTTTGCTTTACTGTCATTTTAGTTCTATGATAACATGAATACATTTGGGGATAAAAAATTTAGTAAAGGCTTATGGGACAATTGGTAATTTAACACGTCATATTAGGAAAAATTTCGTACTAGTTAGAACTTTTGGTGGAGTTCACATTTAGTTTAATGAATATCTGTGGGACATAATTTTTCCAAGCTAAAAAGACCATGGCCAGATATAGCAAATAGAGTGGTTTTTTTTTTTTTTTTTTAAAGAGTTTGAGGAAACTTTTCTTTATACTGTGTTCTATCATGCTTGAAATAGGAATGCTACCAGCATTGCGTTACTTTGTGCCAGGGGTGGTTACCTAACGACAACAGATGAAGAGGAACGCTAGGCCAAACATAGCTTTGCTTCTGCTTACTTTTGATAAAGCTAACTAAAGAAAAATTGTATTTCACTTTGTTCCCTGCTCTTCTAATATGACTTAGCTCTCTGGACCCAACTGTTAAGATATTTACCATGGTACAAAATGGCCTCACAGATCTCCCTTGACCTGGTGTGTCCAGACCATTTGAAACAGACAGGTGGACTGAGTTGAGAGGCCCCAGAAAGGGAGGCCACCGGTGAGAAGTGTGTCTCTGGAGGCCAACAATTCCCACCCCACCAGCTGGCTGACTTTGGGCAGAGGATCCACGTTCTGGACTTTAAAGTCCTCATTTGTAATGACACCTGCCTCTTAGAGTTGTCTTAGGATTAAGTGAGGTGTATATGTATAATGCCCAGCATGGTGTCTGCCATTTATAATAAAGTAGCTTTAAAAAAGTCACCAATGTGTGAAGGCCAGATCAAAATGTCTTCTTTTCTGGGAAGTGAGTTCCATCTTGGGCAATAGCCCTAATCTATTGTGCAGAACAGTAACTGGGTCAGTGGTAGAATTTCAGAGGTTCTCAGATGCTCAGTTTTCCTTTTCCTATCTTCAGATATATATCAATCAAGTCTGTGAAGATGTCTTCTCCGGTTCCTTGAACTCTGCTGTGCAGATGGCTGGACTGAGATTGTTAACAAACATGACTGTTACCAATGAGCACCAGCATATGTTTAACAGTTACATTACAGAATTCTTCCATGTGTTACTTACTGGCAATGGAAACACCAAGGTAGGAAGCAGTTACTCCTTGAAGTACAAACGGCTGTTGCATCAAGCTGAATTTCCAGGTCACCTATCTTGAGTTGATGTCCGTCAAAAAAACAGGAAGTTTAGTCAGGGTTTATTAAAATCCTCACATGGGCCAAAGAAAGTAATTTTTTTCTCCTAGAACTGAATTATAAAGTTAACTGAAAAATCATCAGATGTCTCAGTTTTCATTAGATTGATGTTCATTTGGTTTTCTGTGAATCAGTTTAGCTTTTACTGAAGTGAAATTGATAGCCCCCCACCCCCCCGCTAGATAACAGAACACCGAGTAAAAGGAGTCTTGGAGTGATGATGTTGTTGGTTGCTATTGAGTCTGCTCTGCTCATCGTGACCCCGCGAACAACAGAACAAAATACTCTTAGTGCAGCACCATCTTAATGATCATTGGTGTTAGTCATTGGATCTTTGGCATCAATTAGTATGAGTTACTCCGAGTAATTGTTGTTGTTAAGTGCCATCGAGTCATTTCTGACTCATAGCGACCCCATGCACAGCAGAACAAAACACTGCCCGATCCCGCGCCAGCCCCACAATCCCTGCTATACTCGAGCCCATCATCGCAGCCACCATATCAATCCATCTCGGAAGGCCTCCCCCTCTTTCGTCGACCCTCCACCCTACCAAGCATGACATCCTTCTCCAGGGAATGGTCCCTTCTTACAACATGACCAAAATAGGTGAGACGAAGTCTGGCCATTCTTGCTTCCAAGGAGCATTCTGGCTGTACTTCCTCCAGGATAGATCTGTTAGTTCTTTTAGCAGTCCATGGTACTTTCAGCATTCTTCGCCAGCACCACAACTCAACAGCATCAACTCTTCTTCGGTCTTCCCTATTCATTGTCCAGCTCTCACATGCATACCAGGCGATTGGAAATATCATGGCTTGTGTCAGGCACACCTTAGTCCTCAAGGAGATATCCTTGCTCCTCAGCACTTGAAACAGTTCCTTCGCAGTTGACTTCCCCAATGCTACATGTCGTCTAATGTCCTGACTGCTGCTTCCATTGGCATCGATTGTAGAACCAAGCAACGTGAATTCCTTGACAACCTCAATCTTCTCTCCATTTATTGTGATGCTGCTCATTGGTCCAGTTGTGAGGATTTTTGTTTTCTTTATGTTGAGATGTAATCCATACTGCAGACTGTATTCTTCAACCTTCATCAGTTGTAATAGGGATGATTAATTGAATATTTTGCTTTCCCCAGGATTAACACAGCCTTTTTTGGGTGGGGGGCAGGGTGGGGTGGACGTAGCCAATATTTGTGGAAAAATCTTTCTAAAACCACTTTTGCACTTCAGTGAATAGAGTGTATTGAATGTATGAAGGATACCTCACTGTCTTTGAATTGTCATTATTCTTTGTCTAGTTATATAGCTTAGCATAATGGCTGGCGGTTCAAACCTACCAGCCACTCATTGGAAGGAAGATTGGGCGATCTATTTCCATAGTGATACCACCTCGGCAACCCAAGGAGGGGTCACTATGAGTCAGATCCAGCTCCACAGCTGTGAGTTTGGTTTGGTTTATAGATGTACAAGGCATCAGAAATTCAGCTGAATTAGTGGGGCTCTTAAGAGGCAGCATGAAACTTCCTTGAATAAACCCCCATATGTGTATGTTTTTATCAATTGCTACTTCTAAAAAAAAAAAAAAGCATAAAAAATAACAGATTAAGTAAAGATTCTGATTAGTTGGATTCCCTGTTACTTAATATTTTACTGTGTTTTCTGCCACATGTAAGAGAGAAAAATGCATGAGCATTTTAGAAGGACATTATTTTAAAAGCAGGACTGTAGTGTGAAGCTATACTCCAAATATTTGACATCACTGATGATATCTGGGGTTATTAAGGTGTGACTGCAAGAGTGCCTCACTGTATTCTGTGTTTCAGTTGTGTTCTGAGGTGGTATTTTGTGGACTTTTCACATGGCTAGTAGCCAAGCTTATTTGGTTCTGGTCCCAGATGTACCCAAAGGCATTCAAAGTTAAATGTAAGTTGTCTTACAGCAATATTGCTCTATCCACCGGCAATTTCTGATACGCACATACCCATCAACATCTCTTTCTCTGCAGAGGAGTGAGATAACTTTGAGCACCTGTGGCCCAAATGCAAACTCCTACCCTCTTTCCATTAAAGAAAGAAGCTGAGCTGAGCTGAAGCTCAGGAGGAGACTAAGTTCGGAGCTAGGCAGGTTTGGCTTTGGAGCTTAGGAATATCTGTCTCAGATATAGTCTGTTTTATTATATTTTATGACTTTTAAATAGGTGACTCATGTCATAATACCCTCAAGTCCCTCAAGTCAACTCCAACTCACAGCAACCCTACAGGACAGAATAGAACCACCCCATAGGGTTTCAAAGGCTGTAAATCTTTACAGAAACAAATGGCCTCATCTTTATCCCACAGAGTAGCTGGTGGGTCAAACTGCTGACTTGGTTAGCAGCTGAATGCTTTAACCTACAGCACCAGAGCTCCTTCATGTCACAATAGCATATTCTATTTTTTTTTTTTTTATTGTTTTATTTTTCCACTGTATTGACTATTGTTTCTGGGATAAAGAATTTGCTTTTGTGTCTTTGTGGGAGTCTGAGCACTAATTAGAACATTGTTTCTCCATAAAAATAAGTGTAAAGTTCCAACTTCTAAATTACGTTTTGGGTAGCAGTCCCTTTGGGAACTGGAAATAGAATCTTGTTTTACATATTTTCTTAGTAAATAACCACCAAAATGACTTTTTACAAGTCTTGCTATAAGGCAGTGATCTCACTGTGTACTATATTATATACCTTTTGTTGACACCATCGATTCATAACTAAATATGAACAGTAAAGTTTAATATAAATAAACCTGTGCATGTACATCTGTGATGAGAGCAAATAAAATTACTATCCTGTAGTCACCACAAGATGGCACATGTAACAACAAAAAAAGCAGAGGACTTAATTTTCAAACCAAAGTACACATTTGTTTAATCTATAGTTGTATTCTGACTTTATATTTTTTCTTTATTTTCCATTGTCTTCTATGGAGTAGGTTACCACCTAGTTGCCATTGAGTCAGCTCTGTGTTGTTATGTGCCATCCAGTCGGACCTGACTCACAGCGACCCCTCCTTGGGTTTCTGAGGCAGCATCTATGGAAGTAGATTGCCCAATCCTCCTTCCTAGGAGTGGCTGGTGGGTTTGAACCACCAGCCTTCTGGTTAGCAGTCAAGTGCCTTAGGCACTATGCTACCAAAGCTCCCTGAGTGAGCTCCAGCAACTGGCAATCCCATGTGTGTCAGAGTAGAACTGTGCTCCATAGTGTTTTCAATGGCTTTTTTTTTTCCTGGTAATTTTCAAGGCCTTTCTAACGAGGCATGATTGGGTAGATTTGAACCGCCAACCTTTTTGTTAGCAGCCAAGTATGTTAACTGCACCACCCAAGGACTCCCAAGTATTCCTAGTAATCCACTGAAAAGAAAGGGGCCATGTTGTTACTTAGTTTGAGTAAACAAACTGTTCCAAAATTGCCTGTTACGTAGAAATGAACAGAACTTTGATCCCTTCCTTCCCCGCCCCCCCAATCCCATTCACGTAACAGTGATCGAAACATGGTTTATTAGCACATGTTGAACTTACCATGAGCAGAGCATCGTGTTGAGTGTGTGAAAGGGGAGATTATGAGCATATGCCCAGTATTCTACCTGTGTCCCTAACAATCTAATTGGAAAAGTAAGGTTTAAATGTAATTGCTAAGTGCTAAGTGCTTTCAGGTGCTATGAGAGTGAGTGCCTGACGACATCAGTGAGATAAGTTGAAAAGGTTTCATATGAGAGAATTGGGGCCAGCCTTTGAAACATAGACAGGACTTTAAAAATGGAAATGCTGAGAGGACAGCATGCCAGGAAAAGAAATTTCATGCCTGCTGGTCTGAAATAAACTAATACATATATTTTTTAATTTCAGGTTCAAGTTTTGAAACTACTTTTGAATTTGTCTGAAAACCCAGCCATGGCAGAAGGACTACTCGGTGCCCAAGTAAATAGCTTACCTATTTGTTTTATAAATAGACATATATAGAGATTTGCACCTATAGAAAGATCTGGAAAACTTTATCCTAAAATGTTAATGGGGATTATCTCTGAGAAGCAGTATTTAAAGTGTTTCTTCTTCACATGTTAATTTTCTATAGAACACGTCCTGTATTTTTCACATATAACCCATATAGTGCTCACAGGGAAGCTTATCACACAAAAGGGTTGCACAGCCTGTAGAAAACTATATAACATCCATGTTATTTTATAAAAATATAGTATTACATTGACTTTTATTTTTCATTTTTAAAAATGCTTCCTAGCAAAAATAAATTAAACCTTTTCTCTACCAAATTTTGGACACACTATGTCATCAGATCATTTATGCTTGACCCTTTTTGTTCATATCCCTCTCAGACATCCACCAGTATTTACTAAGTACCCAGTATGTGCTAAACACTACTTAGTACTGGGATATATATGAATACAACACAATATGGGGCTTGTCTTCATGGGCCTTACAACAAAAACATGTAACAAATGAATGAAATTATTGAAGGCTGTGAGTAGTGTTCTGTGGGAAGCAGAGGTGGTGCTGAGACGGCGTGGACCTCGGCTCCGGTAGCAAAGGGACCCTGTTGTATTCATCTCCTCATTGCTGTTCTCTAGCCTTGTGTCCCAGTGTATATTTGGTAACTAATAAGTTGCCATGAAAACTGTGTGATGGATCTTAAAATAGAAATAGATGTTTTTCCAAATGTTCACAGTCTAGGCTTCCAAGTACATAGTTAATTTTCAGCCAAAATGCAAAGCCTCTTTGTTTTATTAGTGTGCAATGAGGGGTACATAGGAGTTTACACATTAGATTTTGCTATCTTCTCAACTAAGTTACTACCATCAAGTCAATTCCAACTCATAGCAACCACCGTTGGGTTTCCAGGACTGTAAATCTTTACAAAAGCAAACTGGTCATCTTTCTTCCATGGAGTGGCTGGTAGATACCCACCCTATTTTCTATAACAAGATTTAAAAATGTAAAATAGTTATAGCAGTTTTAAGATGAAAATATACATGAAAAATGTTTTCATAAATTAATAATGCTCATTGTTTCCTATTTTAGGTGGATCCATCCTTCCTTTCCCTTTATGATGGCCATGTAGCAAAGGAGATTCTTCTTCGAATGCTTACACTATTTCAGAATTTAAATAACTGCGTCAGAATGGATGGTCGTTTCGTTATGTCTCCTGTCATCTTTCATAAAAATTCATTGTTTTTCCTGTTGTATGGACAAGAATGTGCCCAGAAAATGAGAGCTTTAGTTAACCATTCCGATGTGGATGTGAAAGAAAAAGTTGTAATAATAACGTAATTCCAGCTGGCCGTGTTTCTAGAGTAATGCAGTGTATAAATGTGCATTTAATACACATTACAAGTTTATTTTCCATCTTCCTTATAAAGCAAAAGGAGTCTTTCACTGTTGAATTTAAATGGTTAATATCATGTTTCATCAGTAACGCAGCTATAACTTGCAATGGTCTCCAAGTTTACTTCGAATTATTTTATTGATACCAAATGATTTATTAGCTCTTCTGCTGAAAACATTTTTGATTTTTGTCTAGATTGAGATATTTTAGTTATTTCCTCTACATGAAGTGACTGTGACTTTATGCATCAGCCACCCTTCTACTGTTTGCAGTGATTTGCAATGAAGAGGGTGACCTTATGTGTACAGAATACAGCTATTCCATAGGGTTTTTAAGGCTGTGGCCTTTCAGAAGCAGATCCCCAGGCTGTCTTGAGGCAGCTCTGGTGGTTTGGAACCACCGGCTTTTCAGCTAGTAGTTGCGCACCTAACTACCTTTGCCATCCAGGGACACAGGATATTAGATTAATCCATTGTTTTACAACTGCCATGGCAATGGCACCATTCTTTTAGGAGTAATGAGATCCTGAGTCCTCAAGTCCAACTGCCAATCCAACCATTTGGCTTTCACAAATTTATTTCGATCATTTGTGTTTCTAGTTCATGAAAAATGTAAATGTTTAAGGGGAAATTATTTCCTAGTACTCGCCCACTCCTATTCATTGTGCTGATATGGAAAGATGACCAGAATTGATCCAAATGCCCATCCTCAGGCAACTGAGTAAATCAGTTGTTTGGTCTTTTAAAGGAATCAGGTAGTTCTGAATGTGCTAATGTGGGAAGATATCTGTGAAATGTGTTTTCTAAAACACATTGACAGAAGATATATAATGAGATCCCATTTGTGGTTTTTTAAATGAAAATATTTATGTTTATATATACACAGAACACTTCCAGAATGATACACAAACTTCGGGGAGTGAGACAGGGAGTGGGGAAATGACTTTTCTGTATACACTCTCTTCTGTTAGAATTTTTTACCATGAGCATAAATTTTATAATAATTTTTTTAAATAAAATGAAAAAAAATCACAAGGTTATATATATTTTCTTCCCTTAAATTTATAGTACTTTATTTATCCATATTTTACTTGATTCAAATATGAAAATATTTCAGCAATTAACATTTCTATTTCATAAGCTACTATAACAATGTATTGATATATTTAAATTCAGTCAGGACTTATAATATTAAAGTTCATAACCTCCACCATGCTTAGCAATAAGTAAATCAATATGCAAGCAAGAACTTTGCTACTCAGTGTATTTAAGGCAAAGCTTAAGAGTAAATTTCATTTGTAAATGCATGGATACAAGACTTTCCATAGGAAGTCAAATCTTTCAACAGAAAAATGTGCGTTCTCTGGGTTATCCTGATACAGAAATCATACTTTGAGGGAATATTTAATTTACAGTATTAAATGGTTCAATATAAGGTAAAAGTTGAAATATCACAAGGGGTTAAAGTACACATAACAGCTAAGAATAATATTTTTATGTATTGGGGATGGAAACAAGATATTAATTCCTTGAAAGGCACATTTCTTTGTAACAGTTTTTAATCTGCCTACTTATTTAATGAAAATGCGTATTCCAAATGTGCACACATTAAAAAACAGAAATCAGGCTTCTGTGTGCTTCAGCAACAGTGGATTCTAAAATGCCATCTCTTCTTACCCTCTCCATCATTAGTTTCAATGGAATCATTCACAAGTCACATCTCCTAGGAGCACTGAGTCTGAAATGTCAAAATGTTGAGTTTGGAAAAAAGGAATTTTTAACTACCCCCCAAAAAATCACATGGTGGAAATGTACAAGTAGATCTTAATTTAGCAATGTAGGTCATGGCACATCTTGGCTTTTATTAAGTGGGACTTTTCCTAATTGATGGGCCCACCTTCTTGGGTAATGAGTCATAAAGTGTCTTCAGTTACTACAAGGAGAAAGGGAATCTTTAATGTCCTGCATATTGAATATAGATGCTAGGTAATCGAAGAAATGAATTGACTTAGAGGGTAAGTTAGACTAAATGGTGTTACAATGCATATTAGACTGAACTGAGGGAAGAGAATGGATTTGTCTTACTGTTTTTCAAATTTATCTTTGCTTTCATATAAATCTTCAAAATGTAACAAGTGAAAAATAGAATGGTAACTCACTTAACAAGGTCAGGACATGAAGCCTAGTCCTTTGGACCAGAAGTCTTAATGCATAAAATCAATAGAGAAAGAACATGAGTGGTAATAAAAATTAGTTTGTAAGGAGGCCTAGAAAATGGGGCAGGTCCAATTAAATGGAACTGGAACATGACCATTTAAAGTGCATAAAGACTCAGTTAAATAGTACATGTGAATACAAAAATAATATTAAGGCTATTCATGGAGGAGAAATATTTAAGATATTTGGCTTCACTGAGCAGAGGTAAAAGATGAATTTCCAGTTCAGCGTGCAGCAGCAAGGAAAATGATAGAAGAATGCTGGCTAGTTTCAAGGCAATATGCCCCAAGGCTAACCCACCATAAACCTAATAATTCATATCTACTTAAATATTCCCTTAGAGTGAAAAGTTCATGCTTGTACAATTTTTCCTGAAAGTTTATGGAAAAATTGTGCTTTAGTATCTAGAAATCGCATACATTATATACACACACATCTCTCCCTTGACTGATTTACTTCCTTGTAGATAAAAATGTTAAATTTAGATAAAGATCATTTATTTACAAGTGTTTTGGCTGTTACTCTCCAAATGTACAAAGTGAGCTAAAGTTGTTAGTCTTCAATGTTTAGTATCCTAATATATATCCTTAAATTTGCAATAGGAACAATACATTATCAAAAACATTAACTATTTTCAGTTTTCCAATATACTTATCTCTATTAGGCAGTAGTATCTTAAGTCATTTTTCTCCTTGTATTTTCAAAGTGCTTTTTAAAAAAAAAAAAAAAAAAAAACACTATATATTCTTCACATTTTTCAGAGGTAGGTCAAAGTTATCCTCTTGTTGCACATGAGGAAACAGGCACAGTGAGCGTAAGTGACTTGACACAAAATCCATTATAAAAGCAGCATTAAAATTCAGATGTAGTGGGTAATGTGTGGCATGCATATACATGCATAAATAGGTCAAATTACAGAGTGCTACCTGTGTAGTAGTTAGCGTAGAAACTCCAATTTCTTGTGAATAATAGGTTTTAGAGACTTTTGGGTCAAGAAGGTAAAAGGGCCTCTAACAATATCCCTCATATAAAGAACATTCAGATTAATCAAGTGAATGTTGTGTGCCACTGACTCAATTCCAACTCGTAGCAACCCTATGGGACAGACAGGACAGGGCTGCCTAATAAGGTTTCCAAGGCTGTAATCTTTATGGGATCAGAATGCCCAGTGAACACAGCTCCATTATTAGAGCTAAAATTTAAGTCAGATGACTCCTAGAATCACTTTTATGACCACTAGTATCTCACACTGGCTATTAATCAAAGGTGGAATCCTGTTTTATTGGGTTAGGTACCATGGTGTTGACTTCAACTCACAGCAAACCTATAACTTCCTCATATGGTTTTCTAGGCTGTAATCTTTATGGGAATACATCACCAGGTCTTTCTCCCATGGAGCTGCTGGTGGGTAAAAACTGCCAATCTTCCAATTAGCAGCCTAGGGCTTAACCAGTGCATGACCAGGGTTCCCAGAATGATGTTTAGAGGTCATTTAGTATAAAAATAGAAGACATGAATCATGTAAAACATGAAACATTTATAAAATATATCTTAAAGTTATATTTAGGATAACAACAAAAGAAAGTATATGTACAGAAAATGGAAAGGATAAAATTTAAGTATGTGGTCTGAAACAGACCAGACTTACTGGTCTGATAGACAAGTGGAACCCCTGGGACTGTGGCCCTTTGACACCCTTCAAGCCTGGAACTGAACCAACCCCTGGGGATCAACTTTCAGCCAAATAACAGGCCTATAAAATGAATAATAACATCAAGGGAAAACATACTCTTCAGTACAATCAACCATATAAGACCAAAGGGGCGGCATTTGCCCCAAAACAAAGCTTGGAAGGCAGGGAGAGGCAGGAAAGAAGAAGAACGGAAATGGGGAACTCAGGGAGGAAGTGAGAAGAGTGCCTTACATTGAGGAGGGGATTGCAACCAACATCACAAAACAAAATGTGTATGAACTGTTGAGTGGAAAAATAATTTACTTTGTAAACTTTCACACAAACTACAATTTTAAAAAAAAATAAAGTGTATGGTCTACTAACTGGTGGCTCAGTGATTAAAGCACTTGGCTGTTAACAGTATGAACCCACCAGCCACTCCATGGAAGAAAGATGTAGCTGTCTGCTTCCATAATAATTTACAGCCTTGGAAATCCTATAGGGCAGTTCTACTATGTCCCACAGAGTCAGTACGAGTCAAAATTGACTAGATAGCATCAGGTTTGGTGTGGTGGGTCAATTACCATTTAGAAGCAAGAATGGCCAGACTTCATCTCTCATACTTCGGTCATGTTGTCAGAAGGGGCCAGTCACTGGCAAAGGATATCATGCTTGGTAAGGGCGAAAAATGGGAAGACCCTCAACGAGACAGACTGACACAGTACCTGCAACAATGGGCTCGAGCAGAGTGAGGATGGCGCAGGCCTGGGCAGTGTCTTGTTCTGTCGCACATAAGGTCTCTGAATCAGAACCAACTTGACGGCACCTAACATCAACATTAAATTTAAGACCTGCATGTATCTTTGTAAAGTAGTATTTCCTTGTAGCTATATTTGTGCTTAGCAGATAAGATTTTTAGATTAAAAATAGAAAATATCTTAAATCATGTTCTTCTAAACAAAGTCTTTGCCTTCCTCTGGCTAACTCAGAGGGCTTTGGACTTGGGGGTTGTAGACATGCACTAGTATATACTGTCCCCCTCTTTCTACAAAGTTAAGTCTCTAAAAATGATAACAGCCCAAACTCCTATGTCTCTATGTTGTTATGCTTAAAAAAAAAAAAAAAAAACTTTAACATTTAGCACATATACTAATACTGATAGAGGAGGAAGTGCTGTGTCTATAAACATGTGGGAGTAAATCTCATCAGTAAATAACGTGAATACAAGAAACATGTTTACATTTCAATAAGCAGGCCTCTGAAAAACAAACCTAGGTAGATAGTCTTGATTCACCTTGTACAATGCCCTCAATAACAGAATATGAATGAGTCTTTAATATCAGTTTTTCATAACCTCAGAAAATTCTATTACAACTAAAGTAGAATGCTTTAGTAAAGAAATTTCTGTTGTAATGCTTATATCATTGAAAGAAGATTTAGACTCCACATTAGCTAATTCATTATTTAAATGACCCACCCACCTTCTTCATTTGTTTATATAAACTGGCAATCATTCAAGCAAGTAAGTTATTATACAAGACACCAAACATAATCTTGTAGAAGTTGTTTCCAAATGTAAAAGATCATAATGCTGATGAATTTCTTAGTCTTTTTATTTGTTTTTCAAATTCAAATCAGAGGAGACCTTTTTCATTAAAAGCCCTTATACTCATATTTATTCAAAGCTTTCACTGTCAGTATTTAGGTATCTTGATTCTCCATGGTTCAAGACAAAAAAATCTTCAGTGTTAAGTCCGTATCTTTCTAGAGCTTCATGTAGTTTCACTCGCGGCTCTAAGTAATGCTGGCAAAGAGAATTTAATAAAAAAAGAAAGAAAGAAAGAAATCAACCATACATATACTTGCAGGATATTTTAAATAAGGGTTCAAACTCAAATATCCAACAGATACCTATTTAAAATAATGAACTTTTTTTTCAACTGATTAGCAAATGAGTCAATCACTTTTTCTAATGCAGATTGAGTCATTAATTGTTAACTCAATGTATGTCAAATCTGGTGCCACTGTATATCTAACATTAGATTTACATGAGATCTGATCATTATTTCACTATATGAAATGCCAGTCTAAGTGGAGTCAATGCCAAAGATAATGGTAGAGAAAAATGTTACCAACAGTTTGAAAAATATAACAATCTGAGCTTATGTGTGCATGCAAGCAAAAGCTAGAGCAAATATTTCTTACTGAAGAAAAAGGTGGTTATCCACAAAATCTCTAGCCAAACCTCATTATTTAGTGTACCTAATGAGCGAGGGACCTAGACAAGAAAGACAAAATAGGCAGTATTTCCCTATTTCCCTTTATTTCCTTCCCTTTTCAGATCTAAGTAAAAAGGGAAAACAGCAGAGTATCTATCAGCATATATTCCTACTGAGATATTTTCCAAAGAAACATGGAATATGGAACAGAATAGTTATTAATAGAGGAATTTTAAAATATAAGACAAATAACTTCATCAGTTATTTTCCTTTACACTGTTAATAGTTTTTTTTTTTCTTTATTCAGATGAGTTTCTTCTTCCTAATTTCAATTAGAAAAGCTATAAAATATTGAAGTATTAAGCAGGAATAAAAGTCAAACTGTCTCTGATCTGATTACCAGTGGGAAGTCTACCTCTCACTTCATGTAACAACTATCTTTTGAGCACTTACAGTGCATGCCAGTCTAGTGAGTGAACCAGACAGACAAGATAAATCACTGCTTTCGTGGACCTTCCATTCTAATACAGAGATAGACAAGAAATAAGTAACCAAGAAAAGAGAAGTATGTGAGAAGAAGTGTGCGGGGGGGGGGGGCAGAGGCGGAGCTTTAATTAGTCCAGAAAGGCCTCCATGAGAAGGTATCTTTTAGCAGAGACTTTGAAGGAGTGGACTGCACAGGGCTCTGGAGGCAACTATTAAGACCAAGACTTTCCAGGGCAGAGGAGTTGTGTGACTGATTCAAGTCCTAACAATCACTGACCACCATAATGCTATGAGCAAAGTGTAAGGGGCAATGTGCTAGCAGTGAAGGCTGTGAGAAGTGGTCAACTTCTGAAGGTTAAGCTGATGGTATTTGTGGAAAACTTGGATAGAGGATACGGGAGAAAGAGAAGACAAGTAAAAATCCAAGGTGTTGGCCTGGGTAACTAGAAGGTGAAGAGTTGCCACTTACTGAAATGTAGGAGAAACAGGTTTAAGGGAAGATCAAAAAAGTATGGTTTTGGACTTAAGTTCTAGGTGCCAACTGGACATCCAAGTGGAGATGTCAAATAGCCAGAGTTAGATAAACAGTTGTGGACTGAAGGGGAGAACTCTGAGCTAAGGAGTACTATGCATAGGCAGTATTAGAAGCCTTAAGACTGGATGAGATCCTTAAGGGAATAACTAACCAGAGAAGAGAAGAGGTTTATGGACTGAGTCCTAAGTTTAAGAGATTTCAAAATTATAATTCAATGTTTAGAGTGAGCAGAGATGAGGAAAAAAGCAATGGAGACTAAGAAGGCATGGACAGTGATACATAAGGAAAACCAGGAAAGTTTTCTATAGCCTAAAATGGATAGGTTTGCTAATAGTTACTTGCCACAGAGGGGTCTTTTCCCCCTTTGCTCACTTCCAGGCTTACGGCTGTGTTTACAGGATCAAGGATTCTTTAAACTGACTCCTATGTAAATAAGGTTTTCACCATATCTCAGTTACCTAGTACTCCTAGAGATAACCACTTACGTATGAATCGATTAGTTGATAACAGCAATTTATTTTAGTCTCTTTTATGCATTTAGGAAGGAGATCACTAATACATTACTAATAAAATTTAAGTAATCACCCACATCAAGAAATTTCCCTTTCAAAATGATTTAAGAGATTTCAAAATTATGAAATTCTTTTCCATTAAAAAATAACTTCTTTTGTTAAATTTTTCTTCCCCCATGCTCCACAAGTCTTGAGTCAACAATATATATATGCATTACCCTACATTAATAATTTCCTTGCTAAGCAATAACTTTAGTGTGGAACATTTGATGTTATATAGATTTCATATGGCACGTGATGTTATTTTAGTTGGCAACAGAGGCTGTTCTTAATCTGCCCAGATTCAGCAATCTTGCCGAGTTTCTTCATCAGTCAATTCTTGCTGTTTCAACCGCCTAGAAGACAACTCTGGAAGTAGACAAGAAAGGCTTCTGAATGACTAATAGCCATCCAGAGTCCAAGTACTTCCACCCAGAAGGAGGCAAATGTGCCCACGGCTGTGAGACCAAGCAACTACGTATAAAGCAACGCAGTAGATTAGAACTCAGTGAGAGAAGCGTTAAGAGCAGAAGGACTCCCAGCACTCCGGATCCATCAAGGGTCAGCCCAGACAACTCAGAAGTTCCTAAAGGAGTCATTTGTTTTATGATCTAGTACAACAGATACTCAAAATACAGATTCTGGTCATTTAAAAACTTAAATCATGTAGTACATAATGCATGATATTTGTTTCCACAAAACTAGTGAGCTGTTTTAAGTTTTAGTGCTTACATATGAATTCTCATTCACTTACATAGTGAATGAGAAATTCACCTCTCATTCCCAAGATAAATTAGATGTTGCTATATACATCATTTTAAAGTTAGGGTCATGTTTAATCTTTCAGTATTACAGTGAGCAGCTATTATAATTGCTTATATGCAAATAGCTTTAAAGTGTCTAGAAGTCATAAGCTAATAAGCATCCTCTCTGAAAATTCCATCTACTTTACACTTTGCTTAACAAACTCACAATTGTAAGGTTTATCCAACTAATGCCAAAATTCAAAATTGCCAGGGTCTAAGAGAATTTTTATTATCTGTTCCATTAAGAAATACTGACAGAGGTTAGATTTATAACAAAAAGTCACAGTAATTCTTGAAGATCAAGGTTTTTGATCTTTCCTCATCTTCTCCCACTCAGTAAAGAGCACAACCATCTACCCAATTACTCAAGCTAAAAAACCAGGAGTCATCCCTGAGTCCTCTCTTTGCACACATACAATATGTGTACTATTACTTCACCTAAGTCACTGATATATATGTCACATATACATGAGTCCTGGTGGCATAAGAGTTAAGCATATGGCTGCTAACTGAAAAGCTGGCAGTTCAAACCCCCCGCCAGTGGCTCTGTGGGAGAAAACCTGGCAATCTGCTCCTGCAAAAATTACAACCTAGAAAACCTATCAAGCAGTTCTACTCTGTCACGTGGGGCTGCTATAAGTCAAGATATGTTACCATATATACACATACACATGTACATATATATACATATGAAATTTCTACCAAATACAGAGTAGAAAGCCACTAGAAACTAAGTCTTAAACCCCATCTTTCTCCAAATAGACACACACACGTTCATTCATATTCTCATTCATTCTCCACCACTCCCAGGGGTCCCTCATTTATTCATTCCATTCCCTTCCCCAATAGTGGCTAACAGTTGCTGTATTATGAGATGGGAATTTTGATGCGGAAAGGGAGCGCTGGGGTAAGAGAGCAGGTAATTCTGGATTGCATCTTAGGGAGAGAGCAGGCCTGGATGAAGACAGAGGAGGAGTGCTTAGAACAGAAGAACTCTGGGTTCCAGCTCAGAGCCCCTGGGATGCAGAAGATGGGAAAGCAAAATGGGAGAAGCCCAGTTCCAAGCACCCATTTCTAAATTTTGCTTGGGGCAGGCCCTGGGTCCAGGAAAGGAAAAAAAGGCTTAATGCTATCCTTCCTCTTGATCGCAGAACCCAGGCAGTAGCAGAGTTCTAGGGTTCAGCTACCTTCAGGTCAAATCAGCTCTCCTATATTAGTCTAGGAATTAAACTACCATTGATCCCAGTGTCCTGCACATAGCAGATACTGAATTAATGTTTACTGAACAAATAACGTATTTCTAACTCTCTACCCTTCCTTCTCCCATTGCCCTCCATGCCACAAATACTCTCATTGAACTGACAGCTCACTATTGCCCATGCTTGCTGACTCCAATACAATGCTTGCCCTTTCATCCTCTGGAAATGTCCTCCTTGCCTGCTTACAACCAAGTTCTAATATAACCTCTTCCAGGAAGCTCCTCCCTAATCAGTCAGTTACAGACTCTAACCCTGAGACCACTTTATCTGTCCCATGCTTGCACCAGTTACCCATTTCAACATGTGTGGTAGAATGATTATGTACAAATTCTGTACCTTCTGCTAGAACAAAAGCTTCCTGGGGGGTGAGACATGAATGGTTCATTTCATTTTTCTATTCCCTGCAGATTGCACACATAGATATTTGTTTATATAAAAACTTGCTTCATTAACTACAGAAATAAGCCAAAAGGACAGAACGCAAGGAGGTTTTTTTTCACTGTATCTAAGGAGCTCTGGTAGTGAAGTGCCTAAGGCACTTGACTGCTAACCAGAAGGCTGGAGGTTCAAACCCACAAGCCACTCCTCAGAAGGAAGGTTGGGCAATCTACCTCCATAGTGTTATTGCCTCAGAAACCTAAGGAGGGGTCACTATAAGTCAGGTCTGACTCAACGGCACATAACAACAACAATAACAACTAGTATTATTTAACATGACTTAACATCTTAGCTCATGTGATGGCTCTGAAGGCTTTGATCAGCAGTCTCATCTCTGAAAACACTGGTAGGGTACAGTGATGCCTAAATCCTCTCACAGGTCAAATACATAAACACAGCTATTTTTGTCACAAACTCACCTCATTTGCTAAGGCAAAAGTTCCCCAGTGAATTGCCACCGATTTCTTTGTTTGAACATCAATGTGAATCCTGACAGCTTCTTCTGGGTCTACATGCTGGTATTTCATAATCCACCTGATGAAATACAGCAATTTATAAAGTTTAGCGTTTGACATATACTCTCAATTCTAATCACTGTTTCATCTAATCATCCTTTATATTTCTGCACAGGAATAAATCATAGCAGTAAAAATCCATCTCCCTGAGCCCACTTTTGGGCATAAGGGGAGAGGGGCAAAAATCTCCCTTGTACAAACTGCTATACTATAGATAAATTTGAAACAAAACTCTCACCTACATAGTAAGATTTTTGTTTTATGTATATTTTTATTTTACGGAATATTTATTCTGAAGCTTTGCCTTACTGTTGCTTTTACAAGTAGATGCTTGGCAATCGTAGGTACGAATCAAGGTAAAGAACTGGTAGCCAGAGCTCCAACTGCAAAGGAACCTGAATAACATGCTGAGACAAATTTTCAAAGTCTGCTAAAGCAAAAAGCAAACAAAAATTGTGGTGTACTAGTGGGAGCTCTGGTAGCATAGTGGCTAAAAGCACTTGACTGCTAACCAGAAGGCTGGCGGT